TTGGAAATGTCATGTTTTTGTTTCTTCCAACTTTCAACACTTTTTAAACTCAATCCGTCCTTCTCAACTCTTGATGATGTCCTGTTTGGGGACCAGCCGGAGATTATTTCTGTACCTTCAGTTCCCCTTGGTGTAAGAAATGCCGGCCCAAACTTATGTTTTAATTTGCTTACTCTGCCCTTATGTTCCTGCATAGAGTTTGCAGTTTTTCCAGTCATTGCATTTCGTGTGTTCAATCTTTCTATTTCTGCATTGGCTTTTTTAAGTTTTTGTTCTAATTTTAGAACTGCTTGCTGGTGCTCATCCTCTTTTCGACGTAATTCAACTGCTTGTCTAACATTAACGTTTTTAGTTGCCTGACTTATTCCTAGTTTTACTTTAAATTGATGTATCTGGGCATCAAAGTTGGCTTTGTCTTGCCGTAAAGCTATATTCTGTCTCTCGAACTTTTCTCTGTTTGCTCTCTCATTCTGTAATGTAAATTAAATCATGTTTTTCAACTTTGATAAGAATCAAGAATCAGAACTATTAAATTACATTTAGCGACTATCAATATACTACTGCTCGTAAGGTAATGCGGCTGGTTTTATACACCGTTTTAACTCACTAGGAGATAAGTCAAATTAAAAAAAATCACAATGGTTTGTTAACTGTTTTAGGTGCTTAACATCAGGTTGAAGACATTCGACGAATTGTTGTTTCAACTATTCTTTTTAGCAGCACATAGTCATCTTTTCAAATCAGTGCTCACTGATCAAGTAACACTACACTCATTGCTAAGTATTTGTTTGTTCCAGGAACGGATTCGAGAGAGTGTCTATAAACTCATAACGTCCTACACAACCGAACTAAAATAGATTCTTTATGAAATAAATTATCGTTTCATTGGAACTAAAGGAAATACGGTTAACGACGGAACTAGTTTTATGCCGGTATTTTTGTTTTCGTAAAGAAATCTTTAGATATAGATTAACTACATGTAAATGGCGTTTTTATCGATATAGATACCTGAATGCTCAATTCCGCCATTTCTAGTGCATTTTGCAAATTTGCGATTTCCAAGCGACATCTATGAATTTCTCCGGCCATCATTCTGTTTTCTTCCTCTTTCCGTTCTATAACTTGTAAATCCTCTTCTCTTAAATTCTAGAATGATAACAATATGTATTGTAAAAGATACAATTGTATATGTTAACAATTCAACTAATTTTGCAATAAGAAGGGAAGACAGTCATGTTTACAATTAGTCATGTAGCAAATGTATAGTAAATAAAAGGTCTGTATTGCATTTTTTTTACTTTTAAATTTAAATAACTTATATTGCAAAAATATCGTTTTCGGTGTTAAAGTAACATTATTTTCATCTTGAATAATCACATTCTTTCTAGTGTCATAATCACATTTCCAGTGTTTCAATCGTGCTTTGTCATGTTAAAATTTTCATATCATAGCGCATTAACTAAATTTTATAGAATTATCATCACATTTCATAAACTAGTATCCTATTGATATACATATTTTCTGGTGCAACACCAACCTCTAGTCTTTCAATCTTTGTTTTTAGTTTCTTTGACACTTTCTTGTCTGAATCGAGCCTTCTTTGGACCTGTAACACATATTAAAGTAAAAGAGAAACTGTGAAAAATAGTCCATTATGTAAGACAATAAGGTGGGGCTCTGGGAAAAATCAGTTCTTAAAGAAGTAACTTGAGAAAAATAACGTTTAGCATGTTTACTGTTAAACATGCGTCTCTAAAATTTGCACAATAGATTATTATTATTCATTCAAGCGGCCACACAGGAGGTGATCTTTATATTGCACGATGAATAGTTCTTTTATTACGTTTGGAAATGACATTTCAATTTTACGATAAAATGTTTTTATTATGAATTATACAAAAAACGTTTAAAAGAACATTATGTAATTGCTATAAAGAACCTCTTCGCTGCCATCTGGGTTATCAGGATGTTTTAATTTCTCCCTTTCAGTATTTGCTGCTATCAGTCGTTCCTCCAACCTAAAATATAGTTTCAAAAACTCATATAAAACTTATTCAAATATTCGATTTTTGCTAGTTTAGAAGAATAATTGCACGTAAATAATAATTAATTTGCAGATTCTAGAATGATAACATATATCTTTAAGAAATGTATTTTCAAATTAAGGCACTTCTTTTTGAAGTGTTGTCGATAACCGAAGCACTGTTTGGCCACCGACTTCTGTTTGTTATAGAAAATAGAAATATTATAAGAATGTGTAGCAGTTAAAACAAAATAAAAAGAAAAGAGGAAAACACCGATAATCTATTCAACTTATTACATGAAAACTGAAAACAGACATGACATACCTTGCAATTTGAATTTGATTTTCTTGATGGTTCTTTCTTAATTCTTCCGTCTCATGTCTACCTACATTGTAGTTAGCATTTGCAACACCCAGTTTCACCCTAAGACTGCTTAGTTTATTTCTTAGCTCTTTGTTGTCTTTTTCTGACGTTTTTAACTTCCGGTCTACAATTCTACGACCTTCAAGTTCATTTTTGAGCTCTCTTTTCGCATTTTCAGCATCGGTTCTAGCTATTTTAAGTTTCTCTTCCAGCTTATTGACCTGAATGAAACATTCAAGAGTATGAAAAAAGATATTTTTCAATTACCATTCTGATTAATTCATCGTATTATTACTATAATGCAAATCATTATGGTTGTATGCTCGAACATATCTTCAGTAAAATAAAATCGAGAAGAAATAATTTACTTTGGTCTTGTCAAATGTAAGTGCAATAGGTTTTGTTTAAGAATCTTTATCATGTAAAGAATAAGTTGCAAAATCACTATTGAGAAAGATTATACAAAATGTTCCAATGATATATGTAAGCAATTACATGCTGTGTCCCCGGGTACCTATATACGGCGGGACATACATGTATATTTGCTAAATGTTATTGTTTTGTTTTTTCCTTCATTACAGGAGAACAACTTTAGCTAACTTCTTACTATATATTTAAATTTGATTACGTCCCTTTCTCTTTCCTCGTCCCGTTCATCTATGCGGCGATTCTTTATAAGATATTGATCCCTTTCACTTATTTGCCTAGTAGATAAATAATGCATCTTAAAGCAACTGCATAAACTATTATAATTTCGTTTTAAAATCAATGGCATGGCGCTTTTCTTTTTCTGTTTGCATAAATCAAAGAATAAAACACCATATATTCATTTTTTTAGCATATTGACTTGCATACATGACTAGAATAATTCAGTGAATTACTGAATTCAAAGTTTATAGGTCACCTTTTTGTAGATAATACCCTTAAAGGACATGCTAGGTGAACTGTCCGCACTCTCGGTGCCTGAAAGGGCGGATGAACCCTCATTAAGCCCCTAATACATACACACATATTGTCAAGCATGTGTAATATTTATAGAAGTTATATAACACTCCATTATCGTAAAATTACCACTAGAGCCAACAATGGATGTTTTTTATTATTATTACTACAACAGAATTCAAGAGCATAAAGGTGAGAAGAGATTGTTTAGAAATTGGAATAATTTTTATGTTTTTGGGTTTTTTTTCTATTTCTTTAGGCAATCAAAAATCTGCAAGCCGAAATCCATGGGAAAAATATGAGATTGGCAAAAGTATTTTCAAAAGTTTCACTTATAAATAAATGTATAATAACTTAATCTAAAAGGTAAAAAAAATAAATTACATGAACTCTAATGAATGTATCAACTTTGTACATAAAAGCAATAAATAAATAAATAAATAAATAAAAAATAAATAAATAAATAAATAAATAAATAAATATTTAAATAATATACCTATACGCCGCCTCAAGATCGGACATTTTATTAGCTAGTGCATTATTTCCTTTCTTATTTTGAGTTCCCATAATTCTCCTGTCAAAATGACATGTATCTGTTGTAGACTAAAGTAGATCTATCGTCCCGACTGTTTCGTTATATGCTGACTGTGCCTGTGTTGAAATAAGATGGAGATTCAAACATGTGTAAAACACTGTACATAATTTCAGATGTACATAGCACTTATTTCTAGGGGTGTCAAGGTTAAAGAAAATGCTAACGACGTAATAATCGTGTTAAACATTTAACCGACCGTACCAATAAAATCCTTAGATTTTCAACATTAACTTTGTTTCTTTATGACAATATATGCCATTTTGTTCGTATTTTGTTGTACTCAAAATAATAACAATACATTTCTGAATATGGAGTTACTATTTTCCGCTAGGGTCGTACTGTATTCAATCAGATCGGAAAAAAATACATTGTTGAGTACAACTAAAACTCAAACAATTGTCATTTCTTGTTATAAAAAACCAAGGCAATATTCAGAATCAATTTCAAAATATTTTCGCCCCTTTATGAAATACCAACCTCGGTTACCAGTAATTGAATTTTCTGGGGTTTTTTTTGTTGTTTTTTTTTGCTAAAAAACGACCGAACCCGTTTAAACGTATAAACGTGACACCTCTAGTTGGGTTTGCGTCGTTGATGTCACATGTCGACTACAGCTTTACTGGTGGAGGAAGACCTCATATGCCCCCTCTGCATTTTTTTTCAGGATCAACGGGCACCTGAGTAGAACCACCGACGTTAGCCACCTGGATGGCTTTTTAACATGAAATGATCCAAATTAAGTTAAAAAAACCGAAATAAACATGTCAGAGGCACATCATTCATTACGAACATGCATGTGTATAATAGGCCTGTGTTGGTTTACCTACCATTTATTAGTTTTATTAATATGTTATTAATACTATTTATTACTATATCACAACTGAAATATCTAATTGCCTTTTAATTTCAAAATAGTTTTAAGGACTATCGATGTATTTTGTTATCAACGTAGTACTTTGAATAAAATCCTACCTTATATTTAAAGCACCAAAGAAATATTCCTCTCTTTTCTCGACATAACTTCAAATCGTTACATCGATATCCAAAGCATTTTGTCTGCCATTTTGGATTATTAAAAACACATGATCAAATTTACACAACTTTTAAAAGTCTTCAATTGTCTGAGAGGGCATTATTTTAATGCGTTGGCGTGCATTGAGGCGTTCTTAAAATTCTTTTGTTTAAACTAAAGAAGTGAACTCTTTATCTGTATATAACAGTCCGACCATATTTTCCTATATCATTTTAAACCTTTTTGATTTTACTATTTAATGTACTAAATACAAATTTGTGTTACGGGTACGGAATCCTTTACATGCCACTAAAATTCTTACTTACTAATTCATTCAAATGTCCTAGATTAAAAACTTACGTGTGCGTGCGTGCGCATTTTCAAGTCAATGAATAAATCTCCTTTTAAGAATAATGCACTTTTGAGTCTTTAACTTTTACCTGGTCACAAATATTTTATATATCAACAAATTATTCAACATGAACGCACGTGCACGGAAGAATACAACATAATTGAGAATATCGTATAAACATGAAAGCCATATTCATATTTCGTCGGACCTCAAGCTAGTGGAAGCACAGAAGCTTTCAGTAAGATAGCTCAGACGTGTGTTTCTGTTTCATGTAGTACCGTCAGGATGGATAGTCACAGAAAATGTTAGTTATATATGTTACATGACATATATTCTATGTTGTACCAAACTATTTGACGATAACTATAAGTATTGATAAAAGGTGTTGATATATTAATGTTTTCATCATACTTTGATATCTTCATTTTGTACGACAAATCTATTATAATTTCAAGTTATCAAGTGAAGAAAAAAAGGTAGCAACTTGATGGCCGATTTCAACACCTTCGTGACAATGTACATTCCCACTAATCTTTGGTCTTACAAATGAGACGGAGTTAGGAATTAACAATGTGAAGCAACCTTTATATTCAACCGATCGACAACGTGTGATTTCTTACTTCTCCGACCGACGTGAACGTTTGTGCTCCAATCGATGTTAACCATAGTAATACACGTAGTTACTGTTGATTATGAATAAATACAACTACATTTAGTTTAATTTATTCTGTCGGATTACAGACAAATATATTATAGTATCAGTGTTGAATATTTCATTTAGATAAGTTTATGAATATATAACTTTTTCGGATACTTATCGATCACCCATCGTATTATTCATTCTTTTATGATCATGTATAGCAATAAGAAAAATTGACAATATATTCTCACAAAGAAGAGTTATACTTTTAAATTTAGCCTTATCCTTACAGTTCATGAAATATTTCAGTTTTAAAAGCATTTGTATGTAAATAATATTGCTTAAAATTTTCTGATCTCTTTAAAAGTCAAAATAAAGTTTTTACCACAATGAATACATATTCTACACATAGTATTATCCGGCGTTAGTGGTTCTAGATTGCTGTGATGATGACAGAGACCCATTACAATTAGGTTATAATTTGTTTGGTATATTGATATTTAGGTAAATAAGGGCAAATACATTACAATGAAGTTACTGTCCATTGGTTTAAACGTATTTATTCAATAAAACATTTAACAAGTGAAAAATATTTACAAAGTACATTTTGGGATTATGCAGAAAGCTATAAAGCTTATGAGTGTCCTCTTCCAGTTAAAATAATTTACATTAACACAGTTCATGGCATTATCATACACAACGGTTAGTTGAAGTATTCAAATAGTCAATTCTTTTAAAATGCAACATATAAGAGCAAACAGTATAAAGGAAAAAAGAGAAAAAATGACTGAAAAATAAAGCAACCCTGTACAAGAAGACAAAGTGCTATTTTAGTATTTTTTTCGTTTCAGAATCTAACAAAAAGAAGCAAAATAATATCTTATTTGATTGCTTATAGTTGTATATTAGCAGATACACAAAATAGATATACACTGAATATTTAAAGAAAAAAGTATTAGAAAAAGGAAGGAGGAAATGGATGAACACTGATGGAACAATATTGAGGAACTAATATGCATAGTCTAATAAATAACCAATATGTTTAGACATCTATGATCTTAATTACACTGAAATCGTTTTGTATCTCGGATATTTTTTTAAACTGATTTGAAGATTGATACATTAGAATCATAAGGTAAAGTGGTGGAACCGGAGAGAATGACATTGATGGAAGGATTACAAAATTGAGAAATAGTCCTTCAGACCGAAGGTTAGTATATTTAGGGCATTCAAGAAAGTAGTGATAAGCATTTTCTCTCGCACCCCATTCACACAAGGGAGAGTCGGTAATGTTCTTATCAAATAAGTCAGCAGAAAGTGGGCTGCAATTAGTACGTTATCTTGTATGAAAAATTTGTAATTTACGCTCACCGCAAAGAAAATGGGCAGGTATACGTAGTTTGGCATATCAATATTTAGAACTCGCTTAAATGATGTTAACGTAGTAGCAGTTTGTGTTTAAAGTGTAGTGGGATGAGAGTTGAAATCCATAATAACAGAAGGTAAGAATGATTTAAAGTAAAATTCTGTATTTGTACGGATATATTGTGTGTCGTCCACGTTCCGAAGAGGGTAACGATGCTCACTGCCAATTAACGGAGGGACAAGATCAGAAAGTTAATGTGGTTCAAAAAAAGAAATAATAAGTTTGTGTTTGTCTTTTTTTCTAGGGATTCCCAGCCAATTTCATTCATGAGTTTCTGAACGCCGGTAATACGTTGTTAGATTTGCAATACCAAGATTTGCGACGGTTTTCTACGAGTACAAGATGATCTGGTAAAAAAAATCATTGTTCCAACTTACATTCTTTTTTAAAAAAATAATGAAGCAAATTAATCGTTCAGGAGGAGTCTTCTATAATATAAAATTCATGCAAAAACAAGTCTAATATTATGTGACAGATTATGACAGATAAAAATACACAGAAAGTCACATGTTGTCTTAAGTGTTTTTGACATAGTTTATTATTAGTATGAAGCACAATGGCACAGCTTGAATAGTTACAATATTGAAAACGGTAGTTATGTAGACTACTTAAAACTAAATTATACATTTTAACAGAACATATGTAGGAAGCTTAAATGATTTTGGCAACATGTGATTAATGGTTAATGAGGATCACAGCGCTATAAAAATTACATGCAATAACTACTTCCGTTTTCTTTTCTTTTAAAATGTTCGTTTTGTATTTCATTGAATAACATCCATGTGTATTGTTACGTAATACGATTCAGTATGAATAAAAATATGATTGAAATTCAAATAAAAAAGGACTGTTTTAACTAGTTAGATATAATCAAAGTTTTGTGTCATTTTACAAATTGTGCAAATAGTGGCGACGGTGTGCGGAGTGGGGGATGGGGTTGGGCGCAGTTAAACTAAAAAAGTGTTTTGTGTATAAGAGAACAAATACAAATGCACGGACACATTCCCTTGAAAATATTAAATTGGCCTATTTGTTGGTCAAAGCTACGCCGGGAAATATGGCATGATAAATAAGGACAAACCAGATTGTTCAATAAATTTCATTTCAACTTATTGTTTGGGATTAAAACAGCAGATTTATGTGATAAATGGCTTTTAAAGGACTCCGAACATTTTAACCAGTACGCATAAATTATATACCATGCTTGGTGTTTTCATGATAATGCTTGGAAATCTGTCGCACCATGTATACATATTAGAATATATATATAAATACGTTTTGTAAGATGCATATAAGATAGCTACATTATGTTTCATTATGTAAATTTTACTTTTTTTAAATACGAAGTAAATTAATATCTTGATCAATGCTAATTTTTTAAGAGTTTTATTACAAAACATTGTTACAAAATTCTGCACCCTTTATCCTCGAAGAGGACGCCTCTTTGAAGAAAGAGAAAAAGAAATGAAAAAAAAAAAGAAAAATAACTGAGCTATATTGACAAAGATCAACAAAGAAACACCTCGCTCCACACTATTTTTGTTGTTAATTTTCAAGACAAAACCGACCAGTTCAATATTTCAATTCTTAATGGTAGCTTGTCATGTGTCTTACATAAAGAGTTAATGAAATCACATCACGATACATTTCCTCTCAATTTAGCTTTCGGTGGAGGAACGAACGATGTTGAATTTTTCCTGTCTCCCTTACTTATGTTTTGTTGCTGCCTTGGAACGACTATTAATTTGTCCTTTTGCGAGGTTGAACCTTTGTTCTTTTGTGGAAATGACGCATTGCTTGATCTGTCTGTGTCACCGCCTTTTGTCCTTGATTTATCCGACTCTGACAGTCGTGATCGATTTGACAAAGCTCCTTTTTCTGGTTGGGTTTTGGGCACTTTTGACCCGAACTTAACTGGGCCAAGTCCGCTTTGCGCCATGCTAATTGAATCACTATCTTTTAGGTTTCTTTTTGTATATTTATTTATGGACATCGCCGTTTTGCTCATTTTATTTTGATTCTTCAGAATGTCTAATTCCCCATTGACCTCTTTTAGTTTCCTTTCATATTGGTTAAGTTGTCTTGCTAAGTCCTTTTCTCTTGTCTTCATATCTCCAAGCACTTTAAAATTTACATTTTTACCCGATGTTTTAACACCAAGTCTAATTCTCGCTTCTTTAAGTCTCTGTTCATAAGTTTTCTTATCTGTTTTTAGGAGTTTATAGCCTCGGATCATTTCTTCCTTAAGCTTCTTTTCTTCTTCCTCTTCGTGTAAAACTTCTTCCCTTTCTTCTTCACATATCTTAAGCATTTCCTTCGCCTTTGCTAATTCCTTTTCTAATGCTTTTATTTCGGCGTCTTTGGCTTTAGCTGTTTCAGTATCTTCTTCAAGACTGTTTCGTTCACTTTCAGCTTCAACTTTCAACTTTTTAATTTCCTTTTTATCGTTAAGAATATGTTTACGAATGCTCATGTTGCTCTCTGGATTTGCCGGATCTCTCATCTTATCCAATTCGGAATTTAAGGCGGATAATCTTTCCTCTAAACGAGCAACAAGAACTTGCGATTCATTTAGATTTGTACTCATTGTTTCTTTTTCATCATTACTTTTGCCCAGACTTGTATTTGACAAACCGAGCTTTACTTTCAATGAATCTATCTTCTGACGAAGGGCATCGAGGTCTTTTTTCGCTTCTTGTATTTTCTTCTCTAAACCTTTGTTGATGGTTTTCACTTTCCCAATATCGTGCTTTGCACCTTCTAACTCTACGAGAGATGATTTTATTTTATCATCTAGGTTTGACATATTCTGGCTCATATTTTCAGGCTTGTCTATATCGGAATAATTTGGTGGTGGCTCCATCTTTTGATCGATAATGTCAGGATAACGTGACACTTGCGTCATGATTGCATGGGTCAGATATATGAGCTTCACTTTCTCAAGAAGTTCTAGATGCATGCATTATGTCCTCAATATCTTCAACTTTCTTACTGAAGAATAAAAACTAGCTCTTGTCATTTTAAGAGTAGAAAAAAATTAAGTAAAGTTGCCAGGTTAATTATCAGTACAATAGCCTATATATGATGTCGTCTTGACAATTTTATTGCAAGAAAACATGATATAAAGTCGTGACAAGTTTCAGTCTAAAAACCAATATATAGAGTTTGCAAGTTATAAGTATAAAAGCAAATACATGAAGCATATTCGTAAACGTCAATATAAAATGTCGTCGTGTCAATTAATTAGTGTTATATATGAAGTCTTTTTGTAAAAGCCAATATTTGAAGTCGTCATGTCAATTATCCGTGTGAAAAGCAATATAAGAAATGTCGTCGTGTCCATTTTCAGAGCTTAAAACTGATTATATGAAGTCGTTGATACAGTGTAAAAGACAATATATAAAGTTGTCGTGTCTATAATTAGTGTAAAATCCAATATATGAAATCTTTGTGTAAAAGTCAATTTTACATCAATTATTAGTGCAAAAACAATATACATGTATAAAGTCTGCAAGTTATAATTCTTCAAGTGTCAGAAAGACAATAATGTGTAATAACCAATATATAAACATAATAAAGTTTTCTGATTTTTTAGTGTAAACGTTTATATAAAACCGCCGTTTAAAAAGATTATACACAGCTGACGATGTAACGCAAGTCCAAAAAGACGTAAAATCTCACAAATCAACTAATATTTTGTAAAACTCAGTAGTGACAAAAATATAATTAATGTACAATACTCACCAATATTGCATGTATATCTTTATTAAATTATATAATTTCGATCAACAATATTTATCTGAGTCAAATATAATAATACAATATCAATCTAAATCCAATATAATATATCTTTTAAAATATTTTATGATTGAATACCTCTCATATCATATTTCATTACAGCACTAGTCCATATCTGCTTTCTTTGTTCTAAATAATTGAATCAAAACACAATCGTTCACTGGATTTAAAGAAAAATAAAGGGTAGCTTTAAATTTTTACATTGTCCTATCTGAATAGAAAGTTTCTATACATGTAAATTATTTTGCGTTTTCTTTTTTTTTCAATTTGCAGAATGAGGTAGATATGTGTTATCTTGTTTGTTTAGTATGTATTCAAGTTATATTGTAAAAACATTTTTGATGCATTTATTCGTACTGGAACTTTTCTTGTGAAGGTAAAACATTCATTTTATGCTCGTGAAATTCCGGCAATTTTCGCCACTTTGCGCTTTTTGTAAAATAGAACAAACTTTATCAGAACTATTAAAAACCTTTTTCATTTTAAGCTTTTTTTTAGTTCCGAAATGAGTAGAAATTGAACAATCTTGTAACTGCTATTGGTCGATGGACAACTTTATGAAATAAAAGTAATGAAACAGATTACTATTAATTTTCTTATATTTTGTGTGGTGTTTTTAAAGTGCTTCATGATATATTATGTATTGATTCATTTAAATATATTTTTGTGAACAATCAGGTCAATATCAAAATTTTAATGATGCAATATGACCCTACATGGGAGAACAGAACTTTTGAGAAAACGAAAATAGAGAGTGGGAAGGAAAACTCGGTGGTACAGAACAAATCTGTGTCTACGTACGACAGCTATCAGACAGGTGAATCTAAGCGTTCAACTGAGGAGGAGGAACTACGATCACTTTCAACCACGCCCAGATATTCGCACGAGGACCTAGGTAAATATTAATGTCAATTAACTAAATTAATTAATCAATTGAGACGATCTCTTAAAAACAGCATTTGAACAAACCTAAAGCTAATGAACATAATTCTAGTCCGAATAAAACAACTCTGTTTCAAATGTGTTATTTTTTAAGAACATCTTGCGTAGGAGCTTTCCTCACCTTTTCAAAATGCTTTTCGAAACTTTTTGCACATCCCTGATAATCAAATCTATTTTGAAAGTAAAACTTAACTAAATCTTTTCTATAAAAGAAACCACTTTATATAAAGAAAGATGGGTGAAAATTTGGATCAACTTCTTATACAGATTTTTGAAACGTATTAAACAGACAGACATTTAAACTTTCAGGGCGTATTGTATCCCCGCCACACTCCTCCGATTTCTCAACTGGCGAAGCAGATGATAATTTTGACGACACACTTTCTGCACAACAAGTACTTCTAAAATCTAGAACAACGCAGCTAACCAATCGACAAACACTTCCGGTTTCTGACAAAGTGTCTGTTAACTCGTATAGATCACAGAATACTCAGAACTCTTCTGTTATTTCGGAGAAAGGATATACAAAACCAATCGAGGCACCCTATAAGAAAAGATATGTTTACTACGAGAAAGGTAGCCCAAGATTATTGCAAGAATCCCGTATAAATAACGAAGAATTCCACAATTTGGATAAATCACCAAGAACGAAGTACCAAACGATTTCCACAAAAACAGCTCCACAACTACAATCTTCAAAGGTAAGTTTTTAGGAAATTTGTAAATAAATCTAAAAGATGTTCAAAAATATTTGATTAAATATTACCCTGAGTTTACAATTTTGAGCAAAATATCATCATGGGACATTTCTTGATGATGGTGTTGATGTAGTGGTGAATAAACAGGGGTAGTGGATCAGTGCCATTATTTAATTCCTTATTCAATTTATACAATTTCCGTTTAGTACATGGAATCGAATTCTACTTTGATTCAAATTAATTCCTAGCTTTCCTCAGCGTCGTTCTGAAATAAATATGTTCCACATGGTTCCAGGGGTTGTTCGCGCAAAGTGAGTTTTACCATCAACCTCCCATTCTTGCAAATGAAAACGTTTATTGTTTTGCACATATTGTTACATATCTGCATTTCAATACCGTTAAAAATAAAATAAACGAATTCAACACTTAACTGCCCAAATGACATTCAGATGATTACTGAAAATAAAGGCATCAAGAACAACGAACCGTAATGAATCGGTAAATATTGACAATGTTATAAAGCCAAAGCTGCTCTTTTGACAGTTTTCATAAAACGTATTTTAGTACTTTTTGTCATGTAGGAAGAGGTTTTCGACTGTTGTTCTATTATCATTAAATATCAACATGATGGTTCTCATACATGCTCACTGGGTTACGTAATATTTAACTTAGGTGACAGATCCCAAAAGCGCTCAAATGTGTTTCAGTCAAGTAAACCATAAATTTATTGTAAATAATAGAACTGTTATGATTAGCAAAGAAATCATCTTATACCTATGGGTATCATATCATTAATAGCTGTACAGTAAAACAACCCGCAACCCTTCCACATTTACTCAGCACGTTGGGAAACGACGAAAATTCAAGTATCATTCGTTGAATTTTGTAATTTTTTCAGGCAAGTAAAGAATACCACAATAAGCCTAACAGTAGCGACCACAGCTTCCAAAAGAGCGTAACCGGAAATGAGAGAAATTCTGTCTCGATAAAGAGCAATACCAACCGTAATCCTTCCTCGGTGATTTCTGGAAAAACCCGAAACACTGCATCAAACAATAGACTTTCTGTCTCGGTAAAATCCGGAAATAAACGGTTTCCTACTTCAGTAAGGACAGACTATTCTCTACTTCGGGCCGCTGACTTTATTCAATTAACCCCTAGTGTAAATATAAGTGATATTCTGATGGATACTGAGAAAGCACAAAGAGATCTGATCAATGAGAATGAACGAAGGTATGACTGTAATATTAACTGTACTATGGAAGCACACAGAGAACAGGTGACGGCCATGAGCTTCTTTTGTTGTTGTTGTTGTTTTTCACGTTTGTTATTATGAAGTGGCTTAATTTAAAGTTTTTTCTTCCTGTTTAATTGCTCATGGGCTTCATTGACACGAGCTAAATTTAATCTTAAAGAGATTATAAAACAACCACGTATCTTTTGGGCATCCGTAAATAACACAAAATGTTATGCTTTCACGTCATTTCTTTATGAAGGTCTATCTATCTTTCTTAAAGCCACTATTTGAGTATCCTTTTTTGTCTGCAAAATGTAGAAGAGTGCAAACATATATGTGTAAATTGTGTTTTCATTCTGCAAAGGTAATGAATGTAAAACCTGAATAGTCGTGTGTTTAATTTGATGACATACATGGAAAGACATAACATGTTGCAAAAAAGACATTGAAAAATTCTAGACAGGGACTGTGACAACGAGGGACTTTAAGTATAAGATATACAATGTATTAATACTCATATATTCATTATGCAGTTTTATTAACTTTAAGTTGTTCCGTTTGCTTCATTTGTTAATTACAGGGAATCGCTGGAAAAAGAGTTACAATCAATTGAAGAAGAGCGAAAAGAACTGAACACAAAGCTTGCAACTCTCAGAGTTAAACTAGGTATTTATAAATAAGTAAATTAGCTTTTTAAAAGGATCGATTATAACTCCTGTTAATATTTTTCAAAAGCTAAAAAGAAACGTTACTTTATGTAAAGTGTTATTTCATATTAGTGCAAATAACAAATGCCATATGACTGACTTTGACAAAACACAAGCTAAAGGTTTTACATTCCAAAGAGATCAAGGACTTTCCAAGCCCTGATTTGTAATTATGAATCTGCACGATCAAATGAATGTATAAAACCCTTTTATATATATATATATATATAAAAACAAGTCATGCCTGAAAATGCTATTGTTTTCTCCTAAACCATAATCTGTCTTCGTTTGGAAAACAGCGATAAAGTTCACGAATAACTATTCTTTGACAATCATTTATTGCACCATGATAAAAAAAAACTTTTTGCGATTACATCTAGCGTTACGGAAATTAACGAAATTTTCGAAAAACGATCTTGTTTCTATTATATGCATATTATCTAAATTATTATACATAATAATTTTTGTTTGTGTTTTAGGTGTTGCAAACTCTAATTACAACGTTAGTAAGAATGAATGTGATGCAATGAGGAAAAAATTTCAAGAAACGCAGATACAAAAGGTGGTTAAAGTAAAATATACATGTCCTTTAAATTATTCTTTTTATAAACAATATACGGGTAAATATATATTTTGCCATTTTGAGAATTTAATCCAATATCGTGAATTATTCAATACGTAATTTTCAGTTTTTATTTTCATGTAATGTTTTTTCTGTTAAATGAAAATTGAAATCAAAGTATAGATAGAGAAACCGAATATTGAGCGCATGTCTATTCTGTTTGTCACAAAAGGCACGACTTGAAGAACGCATAGGAACATGTAGCAAAGATTTGGAGAAATTGAAAGATCCCAACAATCCAGACAGTAATGTGAATCTAAAGAAAGTAGTCCTTAATGATAGGTGTGTATAGTTTTTGAGATTTGAAAAAGACGTAATGGTGATGAAGGCATTGTCCTTGGTTTTAAGATTACTTATGTGGGTTTGGATAAAACGGAGGTCAATTATATTTAAATTAGTACATTGTTTTTTAGTAATAGGGTCTCTACTACTTTACTGTCATTCAGTATAACCCTAATTCTTCATAAAGAGAGAGAGAGTTTTCAAATAACAACATATATCGATGGTATTATTCAAATGGTAGATTTACTACGATTATTTAAAGTCTGAAGTGCATCATGCATGTGCCAGTTGAGATATACAACAGACAAACATGATTGTAAAATGCTTTTCAGAACTTTAAACTGTCAACCTCTCCTTTTCAATTTGTTCAGCAAAATGTACATACATGAAATATGAAGGTTAAATTGTGTTTTGAATAATTGCAATCATTTTTTCCAATAAATAATGGAATTGTTTCTGTCGGAGATTTAAATATCAAGAAGTTGAAGTTTAAAAAGATCTTCGGAGTCAATGATTTCATTACATTAAGTGTTGATGAGTGAATTTTGAGTGTCTGAGAGATGTTGCGCATAACGTTATCTTTCATGATTATACTCAATAAAACAACGTCTGCAATTTCCACCTTTTTGTTTTCGGTGCTCTAGAAGGACCTCTCCTGTTTCTGGTTTTTACATTAGGTGCAAAGGCTAGTCCTTATATCATTTGTTTTTTCAAATGGAAACGCATTTAACCAAAAGCAGTTTATTTGCAGAAAGGAAATACGTCGTTTGCGGACGGAACTTGAAGGGGTCAGATCTGAGAGGTCAGAGGTTCAGAAGCAGATTCAGGACAAGGATGAAAAAATCAAAAAGCTCAATGTTTCTATAGGAGAGGGTATGATATTTTTTATAATTTAATATGCTTAAATTATTATACAGTGTATGTGAATGATGTGTTTATTTCACTACGTGTGTATCTCCGTACATGAAATAATGCACGGATGCGATATTTAGGATCTTCCAGCATCGTTTCTAAAATAGTAGTGACGTTTACTTAAAAGCCCAAAAAGAGCTTCACTTGTTCGTGTTTCTGTCAGTATGAACGTTGTGTTTTTTCCAGCCAAAGAGCAACTTGAGGAAGTTAACCACGATTTTGAAGTAGCTAAAATAGCTGTGGAAGCAGAACGGAAGAAGCGTGAAGAAGTTGAAGAAATGTATAGCGAACTATTAAAAGACAAACATGAGTTTGACGAGAAAATGGCGGAAATAAACGAGATGTTAGAAGTGGCTATAAGCGGTACCAGCGGTATACAGAAACATACGGAACAGTACCGGGAAAAGGAACAGTCATTAGTTAGCAGAGTAAGTTGTTACCAGACATGGCACTGGGGCTATTCTCCTCAATTTTGTTTAAGAACAGTAGTCAACTTTATTCCAATCACTTATCTTTGCCACTTTGAACTCGAATCGATTTGTTCTAATTTGTGTCATTTCTTTGAAGATAGAAGAGGTAGAAAAGAAGCTTAGAGACACCCTCACATCTATAGAACAGTTTAAAAACAAAGATATGCCATTAAGAACAGCGACCTCCATAAAACATCACCAATACAGGATGACGGCGTCTGGGTGGGTGACGGATACGACACCACACGTGATTGTCACGACAAACGCTAACGGAAGTATCGCAGCATCAGGTTGATGTCTGGTTTAATTTCATTATTCTTCCCTGCTATTAGTTTATAATGAAGATTCCATGATTAAAGTGTTGAGTTTTCAATTATTTATTTTTTCTCGTAGAACACATGGAACGTTTCTAGCTTAAGTGCTATGGTTTTGTGCTTAAATATAAAGTATTTCTTTATGTTAAGACTTGTACCGTTGGCCTTTTCTGACTTCAATATGTAATGTGTGATAAATAAGATGTAGTTTCATATACACTTCATGATTAACATTAAAACTTGTGTCTCACTAAATAAAACTTTTTGTATTTATATTTGATATCTGATTCTAATAGCTCTTTGTTTTTAAAAGACCACGTTATCAAAGTCACATCCTAACTGTATGTTCACATGTATTTCAGGATATCTAGGTAAATCAGTTGTTTCTACAAACCCCGCGAAATCGTTGCCCGGTTCTAAAGGAGTGTCAAAAACAACACCCAGAAGCACAGGCGGTTCTTTACCGTCGAAAAGATAAACTTTCACAGCGTTGTTTACCTTTACATACCTTGTGCAAATTGCTTTATATGTTGTAAAATGTTGCCACGTGCTTTATCTCAGTGTTGTTATACATTTTTTGGGGTTCTCCGGGATCAATCAATGATTCAAATACTTTTGGTGTTTACAAATATATTATTGACGCCTGAACAAGAACTTGAAATAATTCTTTCATTACTTTCTTTAAAAGCAGTCTGATGCTTATAAAAAGTATATAAACGAAATATCCGGTATATTGTATTAGTAAAAAAGCATTCCATCCCAAGTATAAAATGATGTTTAAATTATGTTTCGTGTTTTAATTCGGATTTTAACTCACAATAAAAACGTTGAGGCTTTCAGTTGATCAGATATAGTACGGCATTTGATGGTGAAGAACATTAACAACTTATAAATTTTAGTTCATTCTAGGTACACAGTTTTAATGGAATAATGATTTTCATCAAAATGAATAACCAATAAATCCAGCTTTGTCAGTCTCATATAACATTAATCTTGTACATGACAAACTGTACACACCAGAGTAAGTCCACCAAGTTATACCCCTGACGAGTAAGCAACCAGAAATTGATGGCAAATATGAATGATTTTAGGCATATTGCGAACATTTTGGTATTTGATGTGTTGTTGAAGAAGCCAGTTGTTATTTCAATATATTTTATCTCGATTGTATAGCTGGTTTTCACAACTCAATATAAATATACAAATCCGAAGTGAAAATAAATATCCCATGACTGTCGGAGTGAAAGTCTGAGAAGTGGGCGCAGCCGGAGTATAAATCTACACCTTCAATTAACGTGGCATTTTTTTGTTCCCTTAAATACCTTATAAAGTAGTTGGTTTCTTTTTCCGATTGCTTTTTTTCAAATTAACGAACTAGAAACATTTTTGCCTTAGAGCTTTAGAGCAAGCAACTAAACATGACTTTTTTGTAAAGTGTTATGTAATTGACCAATAGTGATATTCATTTTACATGTTTTTTCTAGAATGTAGAATGTATGAAAGCTTTCTGAAGGAACCAATATACAAATTGTACTATTTTAATTATGGTTATCATTCAACAAGACAATCGTAAGAGATATGTGCATACCCAAGTATGTTTTTGATACATATACTTAATTATTGTATGAATACAACAGACAGTGCAGTGTATTACCACCAATATAGTGTCAATAACTTCTAGCCGAAATCGAAGCCCAAGAAAAAAGATTTTGGTTTTTGCAAATATGTCACACGTCTGGCAAAAGTGACTTCAGTGTATGTCTAGTAATGGTATGAACGTTATTAAAAACGGTAATTAAAATAGTTGAACATTTTTGTTCTTTTCTTAAAGGATGTGAATTTTAAACCCGTTGAATATTTTCAAAACAGAATAATAGTGTACAAAAATGGGAAAAGGCAGTCAAGATCGATAATTCAGATATTGAATACATCAAATAGACGATATTGACGTCATAGTTAAATGACAAATATGCTGGTTAGATTCAGAAAAGTGATAATTAATACCTGTTAACAATCGAGCTTAAATATATGGAAACTAGCTTTCGTTGTGGTTTTTTGCCTTATTATAACAGTCACTTTTATAACTGTCATAGAAAACACATATTTTCTGACCCATTTTGTTAGTGGGCATGATATATTCCCCAGTGGTTGCTTATAACTGAACAATTAATTGGTTGTCTTGGTGAAGAAATCCCATGGCATTTGGTTTGATATTTGATTTCTCGTCGATAAGTACGTTGACAGTACAGTATCTTTGTTTTCAGCCGAGAATTAAACATGTAATTATTATAGTAATCACGCTTTGTAAACATTTAACACGTTCAATTTTATGGCAATGTATGTACCTTAGTTTGCAAGGGATCATCAACCTTTCTATTCGGAATGGATTTTTATCCAATTTCAATAGTACGAACTTAATCACTTAATGCTTAGTATTAATGTAATAGCAATAAGTTATTATTTTTTGTATTTATTTGTTTAACATTTTACCTTTGAATTACTTTTGCAAATATATAACGTGTTATATTTAAAAATAATCTTAAACTATTATACTAGACGTATTTGTGGAGTACAAAACTATAATAGTTATTCTTTCGGAGAAATGTACATTATGCCAAAATAGTAACTCCAGACTACAAAATGATTACCTTAAAATGAAACAGCTCAGTTAGCATTTTAACGTTTAAACAAAAGGAAAATAAAAATCTGTATATTGTTTTTATTCTGAATTTATTCTTTAGAAAACTCTCAGAACATGTTGACAGGTAACAACAATGGTAAATGTGAAAACTACATAAGAACGAATAATCGTTATAAAAATTACCTCTTAGATTAAATAATAACAAAACTACATTGTCTTGTGATTCGATTAATTTTATCTTGTTAAATGTGTGTAAACGTGCGTTTGTTGTTATAAACTATATGCATTTCTTATAACAAGCAATCTGCATTATAAGTCTACAACTGTTGTAATAACATTGTTTTTGTGTCGCTGCTTAATTATTTGTTGTGACCTTTAATTTCCTGTTTTGTTCGAGTTAATACACAAATATATGCATAGTGTGGTATTCAAGTGCTAATAATAAAGAAAGGCAAATGATAACTTTGTCAAAACATATACATCAAATTATGTACATTCTATATAAACAAATTATCTCCATTAAAACAATAAATAATTAGCGTACTTAAGATTTAGATCATAATGAATGTTTCCATTTGTACTTTTATTTTAATATATTAGATACACGAAACGAAGGCATTTATTACAAGGTTAGATTTTTAAGGTTGTACTTCATGACGATTACACATAATGATCATTTAATCCAAATTGAAGCAGAATGATTTCACTTTAAATTAACCACAAGTCTTACTCGTAACATGTTACTATAAAAGAAATAACATTATAAAAACATATACATGGCTCCAATCTTTGAGGAACTTGTAAGTCAAAACATTTGGCAAATATTTCATTACACTTGAAACAGAAAATGTTATACATAGCTCTAAGCAGTTTGCCTTCTATTATGGTATCCTATAGTTCAGGACAGTTTTTATATTTTAGGCTTTTAAAAAATATTCTGTATTAGTTTTGTATGGCACGCTGCCATACAAAACCGTACAAAAATAAATATTAATTTACAGAAAAATTGGTATCAATAAACCCTCTTCAAAAAAAGCACATTATAAACATTACCATAAGTTTAAATCTATTCAAATTAAATAAATTGATAAACAAATAACAAATTTTAACATGTTAGAATATATAAACATAAAATCAATTATTCAACAATAAAGACAAATGCACATATAACAGGTTGACTTGTTTATCAAAATAACTATTCAACAAATATAAAGTGACAGTACAAATCCTGAAAATTTACTTCTTTTTCTCTATAAATGCATTTAACAAGTCTATTGGTAGAGGGAAAATGATGGTTGAATTTTTCTCCGCGGAGATTGAACTCAGTGTCTGAAGATATCGAAGCTGTAAGGCAGCTGAAGACTTTGCCATAACATCAGCAGCTTCCTTCAGTGCATGGGAAGCCTTCTGTTCTCCTTCCGCTGCTATCACCTAAATGTAAAAATTGGTAGTGTTTGTCCGTGCCTTGGTATAATTTTGCACGCGTTTTGACGAAGATCAGGTTATCTGTTATAGCTTGATATGTCTCTTATATAGTTACTGTTATGCATTTCGAAGATATGTACAATTCCTTTGATTGTGAAGCACACAAACAGACAGAATAATTTGGTGATGCATAAAAACTCATATAAAGAATCTTTACCTCGTTGAACACTTGTAGAACTCAATTAACATTGCAAAACATTTTCATTTTCTATGACTGATTTGATTGAAAATAAATGAAAGGCACAATGAGTCTCAAAAAGTATACATTTCGTCCTCTTTAAAGATGGCAATATGTTCTTTAATAATGGGCATGCTAAATGAATTTCAATTGAAGAAAGAAGCATTGGATGTGAAATAATTTGTCATAAATGTAGCAAAAATGTAAACAACACGGAATTTTGACTTCCACACAAAATACCAAATTATTATAACTGCACTAAATGCAAAAATGTAAAAGAGGCAAAAGATGGTTAGGCTTTATGGCCAATAAGTAACTTTTTGGAAACTGCAAGATGACATAGAAAATAAAAAGAATTGGGGAAATAATAAAGATATCTTTTTTGGACCCATTCGACCTTTAAAAATATGGTGCAACAAACCTTAGCTCTAGCTTCACGTGAAGCTTCTGCCTCTGCAGCCATTGCTCTCTGTAACTGTACTGGTAGTCTCACATCCTTACTGTGTTATACAAAACAACTATTATCTATCATTTCATGAAAGCTAATATGAAATAAGTTAAAATATCAAGCTTTATGCCAAACATAATTGTATACAATTGTATGCAATATTAATATTATCAGTAATCCTGTAACTGATTTTGAAATGTATATACATGTATGTAGATCTATTAGAAATATTAATGTAACCATAATACCATTTCCGGGTAAAAAAATGTGTTACTGAATCTAAAATCAAAAATATGTGTGATTCTATTGGAAACAATAATGAGAAATTATGAACATAAAACTGGTTGTAATGTTATTATAAATACTCTTATAAATAAATAAATAAACTGTTATAAAGACATAACATATACAACCGATATCTAAATATATAATTCACCACAAGAATCACTCGTGAAATAGGATGTCACAAGTGAAAACAAATGCTTCAAGGGGGAAGTGGGTTATACTGCTTGAAAGCACAACCACCAATATTTGACCTCTCATATTTGACCTCTCAAAAATAAATTTAGAAAATCTAAATATATAATTCACCACAAGAATCACTCGTGAAATAGGATGTCACAAGTGAGAACAAATGCTTCAAGGGGGAAGTGGGTTATACTGCTTTAAAACACAACCACCAATAATTGACCTCTCAACAATAAATTTAGAATAACACCTATTATCCCAAAAACTTTAACTATTATTTTCTATGGAATAAAATGTTTAAATCATCGTTCGCTGTTATAAATTTCTTTTCTTTCGAAAGTAAGCTGTACAATCATTACGACACCAATTATAATTTCGTCACTAAAAATAATTCAAATATTCTGCCACCAATATAAGATTGTTTATGAAAACAATGTCATTCCTATGAAAAATCCTTTCCCAAAAAGTATTCTTAAAACTATCACATTCACACGAAAATCGTATAATAGAGGGGGTGTGGATTTACCTATTGTAAAAAGGTTTAAATGTTTTGTTATTTAAGCCTTTTCTCCTTCTTGGAGCAGAATACATCACCTGCTTTTGCAGAGCAATGCTCCTAGATGAAAGGACAATTATACATTATTCAATATTAGCTAGTGAGAGATCATGAAAATCATCATTATTTGACGATTACATCAAAAGTTAACTTTTTCAATTTAAAATCTCAACAAAAAACATCTTGAGTGTTTACTATCTTCCCAATGCTTGTTGATAGAATTATCAAAGCAAAATTTCACATGTCTGTCAAATGTTTCAAGATGTTAGCATCTCAAAAATAAATAATTGATCAATATTTCTAAAAAAATAGATTTTTTTTCGACAGTACATATATCAGAACAGAATAAGAAATAAATCAAAGGTCATCTTGTGAAAAGTTATGCGTCTGATTGATGTTTTAACACCAGAAACAAATGCTTTAGGTATTCTCGCTAATTGCATCTATCATAAATACCAAAGCTATTATCAATAATTGAATATTTGTTTTTGGACAGATTGTTTAATTACGACATTACCAGTAAGCTTATAATAAAACATAGAGGGTTTCTTATAAAATTCTACAAAAATTGCGACACATTTATTAAATAAAAACATTTAATAATGTGTTTTTGCATGATTTTAACATTGCACACAACATATCTTTCATGATATTTTTGCATTATTCTTAATTTTATAAATGTTATTTTGTCATTTGCTAATCTATTTTATTTCACGTTTAACTAGTGTAAGAATTTCGTATTGATCAGAAATATATGAACATGCATACAAATGTCATATATATGTACATACTAGTAAATATCTTTAATTGAATTTGAAATACAATAAGATACTCGACCTTAATAATTTCTTAATAAATTCAACATATTGAACTGTAGCTCAGTCAGACACTTGAATGTACAGAATGACATGTTCTAGTGGTGCAAGTCATTATTGTCAGTCACATTTCGAAGCATATCAAATTGATTTCTAGATAAAAACAACAACAACTTACATTTCTACTCGCTCTACTTTGATACCCCAGCTATCAGTAGCTTCGTCTAGTGTTGACTTAAATAATACAAACAACTTTACTGACTGGGCAAAAGTAGTTATAAGCTTATCAAATCTCTAGGGGAAATCATAACTACCTTTATAAAATAAAGAAAACTTCAAATTATTACCAAGCAATACATTTTTTTTTCCAAATTTAAAAGAGATAGTAACATCCAAATAATAAATTTTCCGATTATTTAGATAATTTGTTTTACAACATAGTTATTGTATGATTCACACAATTACATAAAATTTGTAAAATCCACCATGATGACATAATTATGTTACAAGATGCTAAACAATATAGTTAGTTTTTAGAATAACTTATTAAAGTTATGTTTTGAAACTGCATCATATTTGTTCAAAATAACATTAAGTTATTGCAATCAGATCATAAGTGTAGTCAGACAACTTTGAAACTGTCTCAAGTCAAATTCAAAACACTTCAGGATGAAACCCGGCCTGAATTTCATATTTATTTAAACCTTTATTAATTAAACGTTGTTTATTATAAAACTTAAGTCTGAGTTAAAATTGAAAAAACCTAACACCTTATATCTTCAACTGATTGTAGGCGTATCAGCTTAGAGTCTGAGATTTCGGCCAATCAGATCAACTCTAAAATCGTGTGAATCCTACAAGAGTTGAAACTGCATTTGCATATGGTTATCTTCATTAAAACTGAAACTGGCGAAGTCTTTTTAAAATGTGGTGAAACTGTACAAAGATTGCACTGGGTTTTGAAATATTGACACGTTTTTTTTCCAAAGCAATGTTTTAAAAAGAATCATACCTGCATGCCTTGACTAATACTCTCTCTGTCTGACAATATTTCTGACATGTTCTTAGTGCCTAGGATGTTTCTCAATGTAGTCTGTGCAAGAAGTCTTGTAGAATGGTGAGCATTTTCAACGTTAGCAACAGAAATAGTAGGGTTTGACACACGATAATATACCACGGCATCTACCGAGACTGTCACACTGTCCTTTGTTAAAACCTGAAAAATTATGTATATAGCCTTATGTTCGGTAATAAAACAACATATAATCAATCAATCAATCAATCAGTCAAGTTAATGACGATAAATGAGATTTTGTATCAGGCATATTTAACTAATAATATTATTATTTGTACTTTATACATTGCAACAATTCTGATCTATATCTTTTCCAGCAAAATGTCTTGGAACCAATCATAAACGACTAGAATTTACGTCAAGTAGATAATGAATAATTAGACGAATTGAAAAATATAAAGTAATAATGAAAATTATATAAACTTGAACGTTTAATCTCTTTCCATTTTATACCATGACCCACTTTTTCTTATTTTGGGTTATCATGTGTTTTTTGCTTTTTAGATAGTTTCAAAACTGACTACCATATACTACAGCTCATTTAAACACATCGAAATGACTTAACAAAATAAAAGAATAATTACAATAGATATCAAAATATTTCTGATTAAAATCATTAACTTTTTGTTTCAAAGGCTTCTTAAAAAAGTATTTTATTCCGATTACCAAACCAGCAACAAGTTTATACGATTCAAAATTAAGGATAGGCATATGTCAAGAAAGCGTACCAAAGGTTACATGAATGAACACTGCAAAATATTATGATAGCATTATAAATGCTACAGAAATAAACACAAATCGATATTTGCAGAAATTGTTTCCATGTTAAACTATCATTACGATTAAGGAGCATCTTTCTTTCAAAGGGAAAGCACAGATTTCTAAACAGACAATAAATCTTCAGGCTTGTTTTGGTAATTTTCTCAAGCGTTATAAAACACAAGAGCGAGTTCCTACGGTACAAAATGAGAAACTATAAGTTGCCTAACGATTGGTTGCCTATCAGACGATCCCTTGGGGAAATGCTTTTGTAGTTGTAGTCTAAATACGGGAAGTATAAACCGTTACGAATTTTATCAACAATGGCATATACGTATTTATTTCTATATAAGAAACTGAGTTAATGGTACAAAAACAAGGCATTTTATTACATCACGCAATTGGAAAATACTGTGTTAATATGAATATTAGTTCTTTACACTATAAAGAAGTAATTTACTCAAGATCTTTTAACTCTTCTTTTTGAATTAGGAGTATTAGGTATTAGTCCTCTATGTTGAGTGCAACATAAGTCAGTCAATCTTTTAAACTATTGTAGCACATGAGAAGTAATTTGTAATGTTTTTAGACATCATATAAGATCATTTATTTAATTACCAGGGCTTTCGATAGGCGGATCATTATACTAGTAGTGACCAAATGTATTCGTTCTAAACTTCGGAGGAAATCTGTTATTTGGTAAAATTGCCATGAAATAAATTCTACCTACCAAATAGCATAGGCACGCTAAGCATGAACCTTTTTATCCGAATGTAATTCTATTAAATATATATTAAAACTGCGACAATCAGTAACCCAGTATTTCATCGAATATTTGTTGCGTTGAAAGGTGTAAATGTTACATACACAATAAGCTTTACTTTGTGTCAGAGAAGTGGGGTCTTTTGCGTTTTATTAGCTCATGAACGCATTCCATTTAACTGAATCTGAAATATCCACGTATTGCTGTGTTTTCATTGCTCATGGGGCCCTCTCTGTTTTCAGAAATTTCCATTTCTCACGCGTGAGAATTCACCGCACTAGTTAAAGGTAATCGATTCCTTGATTCATTAGTTTACTAATTTGTCTGTTTGTTAATTCGAACCTCACTTTGTGCAGGATTTTCCTGATGCATTAGATTAACATTATATATTAAACTATTATTGAGGTCCTTAAGGAATAGATTTTTGAGGGATCCGGAAATATTGAATACCACAAATTTAAATATATCATAGAAAATGCACAAATACAAAACAAATTGAAAGATATTTGAAAATTAAAACTATTATCATGTTACAAACAAATGTGTTTGTACATGTATATACTATACACATTCTCGTTTATAATTTACATTTATTCTGCCTAACAAAAATATGACAATACTTTAAAAGCTTTATGCAATTTTTACCTCTTGTGGTGGCACATCAAATGAAACTGTTCTCAAATCTATCTTCGTATAACTCTCAATACATGGAATTATGAAGAATATACCTGCAAACATGTACCAACTTATATATAACAATAAGCACTTTTACAGTTATCTTTGATGATGGCTACAAATTCCATAAAAATATTAGTACAAGATTTGTCAGACACAAACAATTAGTTTTATGTCATTGCGTAAGAATACAGAGATTAAACCATTAAAAAACTTAGGAAGGGAACATCCCTCAACAGCAATTAAAAGAAAACAAGAAATTCAATATCGCAGACTCTTTTTGTTAGAGATAATTCACGCCCCTAGAAGCAGCTTAAGAGGATTTTCAATTCTCAACATATCAACGACATTCCCGATGGACAAGAACAATATATAACTTTAGATATTTGATATGTTAATCGTTATCTCTATGTCGATTATCTAATGCATTTTCATCAATTCAATTTACCTATACGTGTATATTACTAAATTATTATCATTAATTGCGAACAAATGCGGTTTTTTATCATGCAAAAATAAAATAATGAGAAGTAATTGATTTCAAAAATATTGAACATGCCTTATTTTGATATATTTTCCGAGAACACTGATGAACAATATACATGTATGTTCTTTTTACACTGTGATATAATTTAATATTGTTCAATGTAAACATATATCCTTCCTTCTTACCTGGACCTTTAGCTCCGCCTGATGGTAATCGTCCCAGCCTGAAAATGACAGCCCTTTCATATTCTTGAACTACCTGAATGGCAATAAAGTAACATGTTAGTGACATTAGTATATATTCAAGCCATTAAAATTTTTTCATACATTATATAATAGACATGAAGACATAAACTTAAGGCAAAGAAAACAAGAGCACCGCTAGGCGGAGCATTATAAGCCCGAAAGTGTTTGTTTTTTTTAGTAAGGATGAAGCATTTGTAAGACATGGGAATTAGCTAAATTACCTATAAAATTTTACAGCTGTAGGTTGATTAATACTTAAGTTATTAATAATGACCTTAACCTTTGACCTTGTGACCCCAAAATCAATAGGGGTCTTCTACCTTATATGGACAATCATCCTAAGAAGTTTGAATATTGTGGGCCATTAAATTACTTTAATTATGCTCTAGAAACTGTTTTCAGTATTAAGGTAAAAGTGACTTTGACCTTTGACCTTGTGACCCTAAAATCAATAGGGGTCTTCTACCCAATATGGACAATCATCCCATGAAGTTTGAGTATAGTGGGCCAAATGGAACTTACGTTATGCTCCGGAAACTGTTTTTGGTTTTAAGGTAATTGTGACCTTGACCTTTGACCTAGTGACCCCAAAATCAATAGGGGTCTTTTGCCCAATATCGACAATCTCCTATGAAGTTTGAATATTGTGGGCCAAATGGAAATTGAGTTATGCTCCGGAAACTGTTTTCAGTTTTCAGGATATAGTGACCTTGACCCTTGACCTTTTGACCCCAAAATCAATAGGGGTCTTCTACCCAATATGGACAATCATCCTATGAAGTTTGAACATTGTGGGCCAAATGGAACTTAAGTTATGCTCCGGAAACTGTTTTCAGTATCAAGGTAAAAGTGACCTTGACCTTTGACCTTGTGACCCCAAAATCAATAGGGGTCTTCTACCCAATATGAACAATCATCCTATGAAGTTTGAACAGCGTGGGTCGAATGGAACTTAAGTTATGTTCCGGAAACTGTTTTCAGTTTTAAGGTAATAGTGACCTTGACCTTTGACCTTTCGACCCCAAAATCAGTAGGAGTCTTCTACCCAATATGGACAATCATTCTATGAAGTTTGAACATTGTGGGCCAATTGGAACTTAAGTTATGTCTCCGGAAACTGTTTTCAGTACCAAGGTAATAGTGACCTTGACCTTTGACCTTGTGACCCCAAAATCAATAGGGGTCTTCTACCTAATATGGACAATCATCCTATGAAGTTTGAACAGTGTGGGTCGAATTGAACTTAAGTTATGCTCTGGAAACTGTTTTCAGTTATAAGGTAATAGTGACCTTGACCTTTGATCTTTTGATCCCCAAATCAATAGGGGTCTTCTACCCAATATGGATAATCATCCTATGAAGTTTGAACATTGTGGGCCAATTGGAACTTAAGTTATGCTCCGGAAACTGTTTTCAGTACCAAGGTAATAGTGACCTTGACCTTTGACCTTGTGACCCCGAAATCAAAAGGGGTCTTCTACTCAATATGGACAATCATCCTATGAAGTTTGAACAGTGTGGGTCGAATTGAACTTAAGTTATGCTCCGGAAACTGTTTTTCAGTTTTAAGGTAATAGTGACCTTGACCTTTGACCTTTTGACCCCAAAATCAATAGGGGTCTTCTACCCAATATGGACAATCATCCTATGAAGTTTGAACATTGTGGGCCAATTGGAACTTAAGTTATGCTCCGGAAACCAAATTGCTAACGGACGGACGGACGTACGGAGGGACGGACGGACGGACAGACAGACAGACAGACGGACGCCAGGGGGTATAACATAATATGCCCTTTTGGGCATATAAAAATAAACACTAAAAGACATATATATGTAATAAAAGTGATAAAGTGACAAATGGTTCTAACGCACTTTGTGATATGACAAAATGAAATAAATAAATAGGTTTTTCAATGAATATCATGATTGTATTGCTACTATGCGACAAAACGCAATTTTTGAAAACAATGAGTTTATTTTCAATTAAACTGTTTGTGGCTATCCCACTATCAATATAGAACAAGTTATTTCATTTTTAATATTTATTAGTATTTACTTGCGATATATTTACTGGCTTAGATTAACTAGCGATATTTTTCCGGACAAAAATGGTTATAAATTATCAAACGTGATTAAATGATTTAGATTTGTATCTCGAGAGTTATATTAAAATGAAATAATGTGTTGGTATTTGTCATATTATTTGTTGCTTGTAAAGTGATCAATCTTAAAAAAGAATTATGAGTGCGGAGTCAAACCTTTTTTTAATTAATTTCTTTGATATATTTAATGGCATTACTGTTGCAACAATGCACGTCTGAGTTTATTTTCTAGTTAAATTTGTCAGCAAGCACAATTCCTGAGTTATGTTATCAATGTCAAAAACATGCCCATATAGGGGGAAGAAAAGGATTACCTTTATACAAAAGATGAGAGAGAAAGGCAGTGTAACGACTATCACTAGTATTGAGAAAGTATAGAGTAACCAGCCACAGCACCCGGCACCGTCTGTATTATCATCAGCTGTAAATATAATAATAAAATTAATATGTTAGTTAAAAAACTGTGATATCCATTTATGTTGATGAAATAATTGTTGTCTTTACCATTTGTATTGTTGTAAACTTTGATATAATTGAATTAAAAGGGTAAGTATAGGAACATAATGCTCGGTATAATCAGTGTTATATGCACATGTACAATACAAATTATATAATATTAAGAAAAAGAACAAAATACTTAAAACCACTTTATTAGTAGAGACAGTGTTAGAAAAGATCTAACCAAACTAAATACAGAATATCACTGTTTAAATAACTTCATACTATGTTTTTTATACTGGCTATTACAAACATTGCAGGATATGGATATGTTAAGGCTGATATTAATTTCTGTAATTCCATTTTAAACAACACTACCAATACAGCGAATTGATTTCTACTTGTAAGAAATCAGGATAATACAAACTGAATGTGTTCAGTTTAAAAGATTATAATGATATTTGCCCATTTAGTTATATATTATTTCTCCGAGCCTGAGGCCTTAAAATTCTGAGTCATGACATTAATGACTCTTTCATATCGTAAAGTTATACTTTTGTAAATAGTGCAACTATCTTGATACCAAGTGATGGTGCAATGTTCCTTTTGGACATTAGTGAAGAATGTATCAATAAATCACTTATTTTTCGGTAAATATTCCAATAACGTTGTTAAACTATGGATTATATTTTATTTAGACGATGTCAGTTTGTCACAAGGGACATCTTTTGTACTTGCTTTCCATTAATGTTGCTCTTTAAATAAAATCCTTGCAGACATTGTTACGTGATATACCGTAAATTGTTTCACTACATTTGTAAGGGGGGAATTGAAAGTTAAAAGGTAAAATGTTGGCAGACGGAATCTGATAAACCGGACATTTTTGGAACATCATGGACAACTATTTTTGAAATAAAATGTCCATTTTTAAAACCATATTCTAAACAGTGCATTTGCAAAAAAGACCTAAGTTTAATTGTTGATGTGTTTTAAAAGTAAAGATGTTTAGAGATATTGTAATCTAATATCACCTTTATCTTATATAGTCAATTAACTGAAGAAAAGGCAAGGCTCATGTGCGTTTACTATAAAAGTAAGGTAGTTAATGGGACAGTGCCACAGTTCTGTGTATACCAAACATTGAAAAGTTATTCTAGTACATGTATTAAAATTAACTTTAAATAAATAATGAATCATCCACTATATATTTACCCGTCACTTGCACGTGCAACGTCTTAATGATAAATTTCTATGGTCAAAATTATTTCAAAAGAATAAAAATGGAATAAAACATATGATGGTTGTATGCCTCCAATGGTCTCTTAATCACGTTTACTTATTCCATATGAGCAGACTTGCAACACGTAAAGTATTCTGTGTATATCTGTCAAATCAAATGGACATTTACTTTACGGTTGTAAATATTTGGTATAATTGTTATTTAACCTACCTACAAATGTATATTCCTTCTCCACATAATTTATTGATGGGTTAGATGAATGTGTTGAATAACTATTAACAGTAATTTTAGCATCCATGTTTATACTCTTAAATCACTGCATTAAATTATTTTAAATTTAATTATTGAAAATGTGTCTGCGTTTGTAAAGATGTCAGTGTCTGTCATTTAGCACATAATGTTTTCTTATCATGTTTTAATTATTGACATGCTGTTTTAACACGATAATTTCACTTTCTCATGTGAAATGTATTTAAAAATACAAAACTAACGAAATTTAAACACTTTTGACAAATCATGGACTCCATCTTCGAAAGTACAACTATACGTACAAATTTACGTTACTGTGTCATGTGACGTCACATCGACAAAATGTCATTTAACGTCAGCGTCAGCGTTAAACACAAGTATTGTGAGAATCAAAAGTAGAAATTGTTCGTGTCCGGTTTTTATTAATGAAGACAAGCAATTTAAGAGAATTTTCTGAAGTTATTCAGTACAATTCCTTATTCCGTATCAAATATCTTTTTATAAAATATACTTTTGTAATAATATATAAACTAAACAAACAGTCAAAGTATATGCTATATCCCAGAAAGTATAAGTTGACAATGATACATCTGTACAACTATATGAATATAAATAATTATGATATCTCCCTAGACACATTTTAGTTATATTGCCAAAGGTTTTCCCGAATACTAGTAATACAAACTGACTTTAGGACAATAGGAGACAATGTCATTTTGTTCATTGTTTTTTCACGAATCATTCCTCTACATTATACATAAGTCAAATATATTCAACTGGTTTCTAGCCAGAATGTCTTATTTTTCAATGAATCCAGAGAAGACCTAATTTGAGAAGAAAATGAAACAAAATGTAATTGCCTTATGACAAATGCACATTGCTATTCCATTTATTATACTCAAATAGATTTGAGATACAGACAGATTTATTGCTGTGCTTATTTGTGTATAACATATTTGTTAGTTGCTAAACTCCAACTCGCAACAAACAAACTCTTTTGTTGATTTTTATATAAACAGAGCGTTTTAAAATGTTCATCGTTTCTTTCTATATTTTAGCTACTATGCCTACTATTAAACTCAAATGATAATTAGATGAACATCAGTTAAAAATGTTGCTTCTAGAATATTTTAAAAACTGGAGAGTCAGGATATTAATTTTTTATTATAATAATACATGTTGCAGCTTAAACGAAACAAAGGAGCTTGTTGATCTTTCTGTGAGCTTTTGACCTAGGGTTAAAGATTTTGTAAAAAAAAGAAGAATGCGCTGCCTAAAATATTTATTTTTTTAGACCTACAAACCATGGCCTAAAGTCTACTGGAATGATTAGAGATTTGTTATAAACTGTTTATCTTCTTCTATGGACATTGATGGATATGCTCAATATACATAACTACCAGTAAGTAACGTCTGTACACATCATATAGGCACACATTAACGAGGGGTCAAATAATAGGAAGTGGGTATTGACATGATTAAATGTTTGATAAAAGAAGTTAATGCACCACTTTCCATTTTAAGAAGGTGTGCCTCTGCTCCTTTCATGGTATTTATGTAAGTCGTTACTTTGTTTTGTACTTATGTATCTTACCCGCATTGTATAAATAAGATGTTTAGCGATGTGTCCTTTGAAATTATTGCGCGTTGTCATATATTCATGCATGTATTTTAGATTATAATAAGTCCAGGTTTGATGCTTTTAGTTGAAAAGAAAATATTACTGTCGTGTACGAAGGATGGTCGCCCATGTTGCCTTGCATAGTTGTGCAAGTGTTTGAAAGAACCTTCATTTTAAAAAAATGCCGTTTTTATCTGTAATATCAACACTAAGGATTTCTACAGGAATAGGAATGCATTTATTTCAAGTAAAAGATGTACTGCAAAAGTTCTTCATAAAACGAAGAAGGAATTGCTTTAGATATAAAATACATCGCGTTAAATTCACCATTAATTAATCTTTAAACTCAAACGTGTATGCGTAAAGTGGTTTTAAATCATACATGACATAATCATATAAGGAAAGCAATAAATCTGTCTGAAAATGAATTAAGTATGCGTTTGATAAATAAATATTTGAGCCGTGTCATGACAAAACCAACATAATGGGTTTGCGACCAGCATGGATCCAGACCAGCCTGCGCATCCGCGCAGTCTGATCAGGATCCATGCTGTTCGCTATCAGTTTCTCTACTTGTAATAGAGTTGGTAAGCGAACAGCATGGATCCTGATCAGACTGCGCGGATGCGCAGCTGGTCTGGATCCATGCTGGTCGCAAACCAAATATGTTGGTTTTGTCGTGACGCGGCTCATTTATAGGAAACTGTATTTGGCATTGTTCCTTCTCAAAACGCAAACACTTTAGTTGCATTTTCTTATAAATTATTCGTCCGTGTACGAGAACTATATTTTTGTGTAAAAACGTCATTAAAATAGGTCTAATAATAATTCACAAGCTATGTTCATGTGAAAATTAATCCAAATATTGGCAGATTTTAATTTGATTGGATATTGATGATGATTAATAAAAAAAAACTGGAAACTTTTGATCTATGTAGTCTTTGATTATTTGCATTTGATAGATATTTAAATAATTGATGTCATAATCAGTTCCCGTCTAATCCAAAATGTTAATAACCCTGGAAATATTTTAATTTATATACCAATGATGTATCAAATGTAATGGTGATCCTTACTGATTGTATGTAACGAGATAGTGTATAATTATGTAAATATTACTATCGTACTGAAATAAATCTTTTCCAAGTCAGTAATTTATTTCTATTAATGCAATGTATAAGATTCAAATAAATATTGGATTTTGAGTAATATTAGTTGCGTAGGATGTAACATTCTTAGATGTGAGTTTTCCTAGAACATGAATACATTTTGTGTTTGATCAAACGAAGGTACCCTTATAGCTACATTTATTTATACATATTTTTCCGTCGGCTTAAAAACCGAGCATTCTATAGCTTCGTTAACATTTTTAACAGTATTGTTGTAAATCTCATTAAATAGTTTTCATAAGTTATGATTTTAAAAGGAAAACCTCAAAGTAATATTAAAGTTCGTATATGAATTTTAACATTTAAAGGAAGACTACATTATTAGCTCGTGTATGCGCTACGTCACAGTGGTAAGATCTATTGTTACCACGTGGATCACAGCAAATATGAGATTTTCTTGTGCAAAAAAACTTTAATCGTTTTAGTTTCACAGTGCATTAGCCCTGTCGTTCACAAAAAAGTAATCATCTAATAAAAAGATCGAATTTGTATGAAAACATTCGTAATATAATGCGGGAATTTACCGTTAAATTCGGACTGCTGCTTAAAAATGTTTGATTTTACATTGATGTACGGATAACCTGACGGCGGAGTTTCTCATACAAATAGAAATTGTACTTCCGATTTCGCCACAATGAGGTTGCTCAATTTTAGGCTTTGGTTGTCTGGACACCACCAAATAAGAACGGGAGTTAATATGAAAC